AATACACTTGGGCTTCATGTTGCCATTCAGGTTTTCTTGTTGGGGGGGGGGGGGAGCCTCTAAAATGGTTGCAAAGCATGGGGGATGCCCTGGAGGATGCTGATGCAGAAACTACCAAGACTGAGAAATCAAAGTGAAGATAGTAAAACTCAGCTGCAAAAAACTGTGCACTCTGAAACAAGCTGCATCATCAGGAAAGTCTTCAGTTACTGCATATAATATTCAAGCCTCTCCAAGCAGGTCTGGCCCAATTTATCTTGTTCATCAAGCAAAGAAGTGCCACTGCTTACCCACCCGCCTGCTTGGCTTGTGTACCCACCTGGCCAGCTGGCTGCTCTCTCACTTGCTCAGCCAGCTACTTGATTCTGCCCTCCTGCCTGCTCCTACCGTGAGTCCCAGCTGCATGGCTGCCATGAGAGCTCCACTGATGTCTGGCAATAACTTGGCTAGCCTCCTATGGGAGCCCCATGGGGGGAGCACAAGGCAGGTGTGGCTGGGCAAGGAGTAGCAAGCAGCCAGCTGGTTTGGTCAGCCAGGGAAGGGGCAGCTGGCTGGTCAAGCAGGTAGGGTGGGCACCTGCAATAAGAAGAGAGCTCTAGAGAGCCCTGCCAGTTGCTGTCTTGCTGCAGCAAACACTACAGTAGGGAAACAGCTGGTGGGGCTCTGTATAGCGTCCACTGGAGGTGGTGGGAAAGGCAGTGGTGGGCCCTCTTGGCAGAGGCAGAGAGTAGGAGGATACAATTCACTGCTCTCCCCACGCCTCTGCTTGATGTGGGCACACCAGCTAGTGTAATGTTAGCACAAGCCATTTATACAAGCACTAATTGATCAGCCATGTGACTTATCTGATTGCTATGGCTGAGAGAAAAGAGGAAGATGCTACAGATTCTTCCAGGTGAGGGCTCCTACTGCTATTAATCAAAAAGCAGTGTGCAGCCATTATTTCTTTTCTGCCTTAGCACATTTTTAAGGTATGAAAAAGACAATGTGTCAGGAAAAACTCAGACTAAAATTGTGATTTTAGAGGTCCAGGTGATAATGTATGGACCCCATAAAATTCATAAACCAGGTAGTGCAATTGCACAATAAAAATCTCACCTGAAAGCTTCCTAGGACAATTCCTTAGCAGGAATGGAGCAGAAAGAAATTGACTGCCTTCTGGTGTTGTACCGAATCATATTTCATTGTTCCACTTGTGCATCTTTACCCTTACCCCAGTTGCAGACGTACACACAGTTCTGCCAGAGCGAGCTGCCAGTCTTATTCTCATCATAGCCCTGAGGCATTTGGTAGACTGAAGATAGGTTACTATTAGGATGGAGCTAGACTTAACAGTTGGTGAAATCCACCAACACCAGAGGAAGCAGGTGAGATTATTTTTGCTGATATGTCCATCTCCCTGTGCCCCCTGAAAATCTGCTTCAGAGGTTTGGGGGACCATCCAGAGCAGCATGAGAAGCCGCCTGTGGGACTGCAGGGAGAAGAGGAAATATGTAACAAAGTTTTTCCTCCCCTCTCTTTATTCTAGCAAAGAGCCTCTACTCTGCTCGACCTCACTCTACTGCACTTAATGGAAAGAGTCCTTCTGTTCATTCTGGCTCTGACTCATGCCACATTGCTTTTACTTTAGTTATAAGTTATCATGACCACTGAGTATGTCTTTAAAAGGTATGGTACACTTGCTGAAAATAGGTACAAACAGGAACAGGTGAGAAATGCCAAGAGCATAGCTTCCACCAATCACAGCTCCACCCAAGTCCCAGTTTAGCCCACATTGCCTTGAGAGATCTTTCCAGACACTCACTCAGAGCTCAGTCACAGCACATAAGCAAGACTGATTCTGCTATACGCTCAATGTGGTCAAGACTTCAGAAAGTGGCAGAAGTCCATCCTCAGGCCATGTATCATAGGGCCAGTTCACATGATCCAGAATCATCCACAGACTTGCAGCGGGTTTAAAGTACATTGCATTGGGTCATGGAGTGAGATGACAGCGTAACTGCACTGCCTCAGGGCCGGATCGATGTCATCTTCTGACTGCCTGATGAGGCAAATGGGGAAAAATTACCATACTGTCAAGTGCTAAAAGGTGATCAAGCCATGAGCTGGAACACTCCTTGATCACAGTACTGTTAATGTCCTCAGAATTTACTGCACACTGAAAGCTGATTTTTTGTTAGAAAGTCTTGAACCCAGGTAGCACAGCCGGTTCATAGCAAATACATCTCCCTGTTGCTTGTGTTACTATATGGCAAAGGGGGAATAAGGGAGTGGAGAAGGATAAGCAAAAATTTTTTTTTCTGGAGTATGGGAAAGAAACCACTTGTTGAAGAGGTTATATTCAGGGTTCAGAGGCAGCTGCATGATTAAAGGTTCATTTGGGGCAAAGCAAGGCTTGATTTTTTTTTTTTAATGGTCTGTGCTCAGATCCTGAATGTGCAGGTGTAATTGCCCCCATGAATCTGTCTTCCCCACCCCCTTACACAACCCAAAAGATAGAATCCATCACAGGAAAGAGAAATATTTACATGATTCTGTCTAGTTACAAGTAAATATTATGTTCTGCCCTCTGAGAACACAGAGCCCTGCTACATTTACGAAATCAGAGATTAAACTTCCTTAACAATTATCAGGCTTGCATTGATCCCATCCAAGGAGGCTGGGCACAGCTTTGCCACTTTAGAGATATTCGAACTCACAGAGACACCTGGAGCTGAAATCTTCCATCCTCCCGCATAAACATACTTTAAAAGGCCAAGGTTCTGTAATAACTAGGTGCCCCTCAGATGGCAGGTCCCAGGCAAAAATGCGAGCAATGCTCTAGGCCTCTTTGAAAATGCCTTTGGGAATAGTTGAGGAGGGGCAAAGCCCTTGCTTTGGGGGGAAGTTTGTTTACTGGAGAGTAAGCAAGTTGTCAGGGGAGATTCCAAGAGCTCAAATGGGAATAAACAGCCAAGGAGATTGTGTTACTGAGAATGAGAAACGGCTCAAAGGGATGGTGTCCAAACATCACCAGGCACAAGTCTAGGCATCCATCACAGTTAGATCTGCTTCTTGGGAGGCTGGGACAGCCTCAAGCCCCAGGTGCCTCTTATTCACTACCCCGCAAAGTGAGGCTGCCCTGTTGAGCAAGCTAATATAGACATTTGTGTCACAGAAGCTCAGCATGCACTCAGCATCCCTAGAAACTAAGCAGAAACTTTTAACCAGGGCCTGGGTACCGGTGGCAACAGCCTGGACAGCACTTGTGAGAGAACGAGACCCTTCCCCTGGGTCCTCTCTCTGGCAAGGCCGGATACAAGTAGTTTGCAAGCACCCTGTCATTCTCCTTGTGCCTGTCAGTCATCCCAGGACCCATTTCATAAATAGTTCAAACAACACCCATAATAGAAACAGCCACTCGGCTCCATCTGGGCCATTATCTTTTTTATATTTGCTCTTTAATATTTACTGGGTTCACACAAAGTGCATGTGCCGCTATGGCTTCAAGGACACCAAATTTAGTAATTGCTTCATCCCCTCTTCTGAGACAAGTGAGGGCAGGGAGAGGGGAACACACTTTACGAAAACCACATACACAACCCAAATGCAGCGCTATTTTCAGCAAAATGCCTTATATCACTTGGGTGGGCAAAGGCCCATGGAAAGTCTGCAAACAGCTTCTGATAGGCTGCCCAGGGCTCCCCTGCCCCTCCAACAAAGCAAATCACCAAGAAGAGCAACAGCAGCTGCCTCTTGAAAGAAAAGCAGTCAGTACTATGTCTCTTGCAGGCTGTCAAAGGCTACTAGTCACACTGGCTAGATATTGCCTCCAATACCAGGAGCAGTATGCCTCTGAACACCAACTGCTGGGGAACACGAGCAGGAGGGTACTGCTACATTGTGGGCTTCCTGCAGGCATCTGGTTGGCTACTGTGGGACCGAAATACGGTATTAGATAAGCCTTTGGACTGGTCCAGCACAACTCCTCTTAGCTTCTTACATTCACAGTCAAGAAATGCCCTGAATCTGTTTTTAAAATAATAGACAATAAACATAGAAACACAGAAACAAACCAAGTCAGCCAGATGCTTGTCTAAAGCCAGATCAGACCGACAAAGCAGTTAGCTACTAGGAACCCAATCATATTTTAATCAAGGGTTGGTAAAATGTTTGCCTACGTAAGGAAAAGATAATCATTCATGCCCTCCCACAAATGTAACTTTGCCGCTTTCTTTGGGTTTAGATTTGGAGTGGCCAAGCCAAGTAGCAAAATCTTCTGCTTCCCAGATCTGGAGAACAGAGTAGCCCTGAAAACAGAGAAAGATACCCACTCTTGGCTTAAGTCTAGGATGCTGAAAGAAGGGACAACTCTTTAAAACGAAGATTATCAATTAAAACATGTCTTAAGAAGAAACCCGGGGAAATGAGATAATATTCCACGCAGATGCTATCAAATGAGCAAGGATGTATAACTTTATGTCATGGAGCAGCTATTCTTCACTTCCTATTAAAATTAATGCATTGATAATTGTTCTTGTTAACATAACTGTATTAAGAATTCTGGCCATAGGCACAGATCTATTCTTGGTGATACAATCAAATCCAGGAAAATATCTGTGTCTCAAGAAACTGACATGCAACTAGGATAATTGTGGCTGTTATATGTGATTTAAGAAACCTGCATTCATGGTTATTCCCACCATCAATAGTTTTTTTTTTTCCTTTTGGCACTGAATCTTAGTTTATATGAAACACTTTCTGTGTGTTGCTTTCTCTTGTTCATATACACTCTACTTCAAATTGCCAATGAAGTAAGGAGGTAAACCTGAGATTACATTTTAGTCAGTTTAACATGCCAGACAACCTTGACTTGTCTGTTTGGGGTCACCCCGGGGCTCTTTGTAGGATCAATAGCCTTTCATTAGGACCTTGCCCTCTCTTCTCACTATGAAAAAAGCAGCTGTTTCTTCTACACCTAACGTGCTATTCCTTGGCTCAGGATGACTTTGCAGCCTTACCTGTTAGCGTGAGATTGCTGTAAGTGTTGGAGAACTGCTCCTTGAGCAGAACCAGGTGCATCTGGGCTGCCTTTTCCCTCTGTAGCTCCAGCATGATGTCTGGGTGCTGAGCAATCTTGCAGCCCTTCTGCTTATCCAAGGCAATATCACTGCGAATGATGTCTGTGAACAGAAAAAAGAGACGTCACAGAATCAGCCTCCATTCAAAGATGGGAAATCCTTAAACTGGAAACAGCACTGGCACTGTGGGCGATTCATTACCACATACCCTTACACATGTGTGCTTCTTTCCATACAATGTTTCACCATATTTCAAGTTTCTACCTGCTGAATGGCAAACCCCTCATAGCCAACATTTCTGATTCACCATTCTTGCCTTCCATCTTATGAACAGTGCTGGTTAGACCAGGCCTGAAGATGTTCTGTCCCACCAAATCAAAGAAAGCCTAATCTGAGTATAATGGCCTGTTAAAACTTTACAGTATGCATTGATGGTGTGCAGCGTACAGGTTTTTGAACAGTTGCAGGACCTCATAGCATCAGCCATGCCATCAGGAGCTGATATTAAAATGTTAACATTCAGAAGTATTTTTTAAAGTTCACTTCCAGAATACCATGAGCAAAATGCACTGCGGTCAGTTTTAAAATTTCAAATTAGCTACTTTGCATTGGTTCATTTGTAGCAGAGAACTTTCACTTTGTATGAGAAAATTTTCAGACTAGAAAATTTGCCCTAGACTAGAGTGTGATCTAATTTAGCAAACTTAGTACATAAGCACATTGCAAATGTAAGAAGGAGGGAAAGAGCAGGCACTCCAAATTATTGACATCCTAACTGAGCTTTCCCCAAACTGGTACTTTCCCAGATGTGTTGGACTACAATTCCCAGCAACCCCTGGACAGCACAGCTAGGGATGTTATGAGCTGTAGTTTAACATACCCAGAATGCACCAAGTTGGGGAAGGCTGCACTAATAAACTCCAACAGCCTAAGGAACTGTGCATGATATGCTGACAACCACTCTTCTATTTCAAGAGTTCAGCTCTGTTCCACTGAGGGCACCTTCAGTTTCCTGTCATTACTTATTATTTCCATTTTACACTAAGACAAATAGGTATGTCAGTGGTACATATGTATTCCTTCACACAATTGTTAGGGAAAATCAACTGAAAGATATTAATTACATCTTTCATATTTCCAGGCTTGCCTAATATTGTTAGGCAATTAACAGTTAACATTCATTCATTCATTCATTCATTGTTACTCAGAAACTTATAAAACAGATACATTTCCATGGAAAAAATAGAAACACTGGGAAAATGTCAGTTTGGGGCGGGGGGGGGGGGGAATTGTCTACCCTACGTTACTGCAAAAAGTATTCAAAATGAGTCTCCAGAATGAAGCTACTGAACTAGAACTTACTTGCAAATTTAACAAGATTGCATCTAAACTTAGTCAAGGTTGAGGGTGAAAAGTAATTCTGAAAGTAATTGTATCCATGGAAGTGTCCAATTCACACAGTAAAGAAGATTGTGTTGGAATGGGTCATTTTGTTGCTATCTTGCATAAATTTGGTTCTGTATTGAAATCTGAAAGACCTACTGCTGCCTTGTTACCTTTCAAGGCCTTTTGGTTCCACTATTTTTTCCTGTACTTATACTAGTATATGCGTCTTGTGTTTGTCTCTGTCCAAGCACGCACTAGTCCATGTCACAGGATTCTGCAGGTTGTGCTACAATGGACTAACATGCTTCTCCATCTTGAACATACTTTCAGGAAAGAGACTCCTGAGGGTCATCACAGGAGAAGTTTAAAGGAAAAGAAAAGCAGCTGCCCGTCATTTCAGAGACCTCTCGGGATGAAATGGAATTATCCAAGAGTGGCCCCAAAGTCTGCACAAGCCAGAATCATGGCGCTGGAAGGGGGCATCTAGGCCAACACGCCCTACCCTTGCTCAGTGCAGGAATCCCCTTTAAGGCATCCTGTTAGATGGCCGTCTCTGCCTAAGCACCTCCAGAAACTGTGAGTCCAGCATTTCCCCAGGCAGTGGGAAGCACTGTTCGACTGCTCTGCTGGAAATTTTCCTGATGTCCAACCATAATATGCCTTCCTATTACTGAACTCATTATCTTGTGTCTTACAGTCTTGGATGTTAGAAAGCAGGTTCCACCCTTCTTCTTCGGTCTTATCTTCGCAGGGGTAAGTAAACATAGGCCTGCCGCCAAGACTTCATGAAACATGGCTATAAATGACCAAAAAGGATCTACCAAGATCCGTTTGATACAACTGCCCTGTCAATTTTATAGGCAAAGATTGTGACACAAGTCACCAGTGCTACCTTAGTTCCATGTGCAAACAAATGTCAGATCAAAAGGTACCCAGTGGTATATCAGATTGCTGAGGAATGACTTGCTCGATAACTTTGTCAAAATGGAAGTTTGGAGACAGTCATATAAATGACAAGGAAGAAATTAAGAACAGATGAAGAGCAATACTGAATCAAAGCAAGGCCTATCTAGCCCAGCAGTCTGCTTGCAAAGGATTCTCCATGCATCCATAAAATGTTGTAAAAAATACCAAGCAGCTACAGATATGCATGATGAACAAACGCATATCCCACAGACCAACAATATGAATACCTGTGGCTATCAAATTTAGACATTTGCTTGTTAGAAAATTTCAAGGCTGGCACAAAATGTAACGAGGCTGAACTTCCTGTATAATTTGAACACTGGGTTTGAGGACTTCCTAGCATTCCATCATTTAGTGAGAGCTTATAGTTTATAGATATTCTCTTATTTGGACCATTTTTGTAACAGGTCACATATCACCTCTTAAACAGAAGATCTAAATTTACTGTTTGAACTATCGACTCTACAGATTAGTTAGGTTTTGTGCTAGTCTTCATTCCATGTTCACAGATCCCAAATAATTATAGCCTTAAGCATTCATCTAAGACTTGCAGTTCACCTCTTCATGGGCATCTGAGTCACAAAACTAAGAAAAGGGAAGGAGAAAAATGATGTCTCGTGCCGCTATGCAACCATCTCGCATGCTTTCCTTGCTTATTCCTTCCTTTTGCTAATATAATTTAATCCTTGAATTCCCATATGTAAGAACTGTGCTATTACAGATAGAAACACACATATTTTTGTATGTTTTAAATCATGCACATGACCATTTAAGGCTTCTATCTGTCTATATGTATAGGATGTTTTCAGTATCGCTTTTGGCTCAGCAGAAAATCTATCAAATAGATAATTATTATTCCTATTTCACAAATTACATATAATCACTACTCTTACTATTTTCAGCATATTATGGGCTGGTGCCATATGCCCCTGAATGCTCCTTTCAGCCCCCGTCAACTCCCACACCTCCTGATTTTACTTGTATTTAGATATTTCTAACTTTAAAAAACCACCTTACTAGTACAATCTTTTTTCAGTGATGTTTCTGAGCCCGGAGGCATTCTCTGAAAATAGAAATAACGGGTGGGTGCTGTCCACTGTGTTCACATGCCAAGAAAAGGTAAGCCAGTGGTGCTGGTAAGTGGTAGGAAGGATCTGGGGTGGGGAAAGGGGCATTAGAGGGTGGGGAGGGAGAGTTCTGCCTGTGGGTTATATTTTGTCCTTGTGTGTGTGAGCATGTGCTTCTTGATGCAGGTGTGTAGTGTAGGTTGCCTCTGTGTATCTCTCTGGGCTTCACAGGTTACCTTCTGTGAAACAGGTATAATGTTACGCTTTGTGGGGGGCAATTATGTGATTTATTATGTGGAACTCAACTCCAGCCTCAGCTCTGCACTCAGTTTCTTGGTCTCCGAGGCTCATCAGTTTGCCTTCTGTGAAAAAGAACTCGAGCAGAAAACTGCAGGTTCAACGGGGAGATTTTGTGTTTTGGCGTTCAGCCCCCGTCTCTGTAATGTACTCTGACAAGCCACTTTTCTTCTAGTCTTACTAGTTTTCCTTCTGGGTCTTGGTGTTCTGTGGCTGCCCAAGCTGCCCATAGCAACCATTAAATGGGCCAGCCCATTTTGCAATCATGTCCACTGCCCTCTCTGAAAATGCCGAATGTGCCCAGAGACCCAAAAGGCTTGGGGACCCTCCCGACCTCTATTCTCTTCCTGAAGAATATATATCATGAATTTAAGCAATGTGTTTTCTACATGGAAGAGACCTGGTACGGTGAAGTGCTCACACAGATGGCTCAGTAGCCAGGAAGGTTTCCCAGTTTCACTGCATACATGACCTCACTGGGTGAGATCCAAGCCCCAAAACACAAAATCTCTCCTTAGAAACCCAGTTTTCTGCTTCAACAGAACAGCCTTTTCATGGAACTTAAGTAAATTAATTTCTCCAAATCCTCTAAATAAATTCCTCTGAAATTTAATACACCTCACATGCCTCCTCCTTACTCAGATCACCACCCAAATATGCCCTAGCATCTCCATTTTTTCTTGCTTTACAAGGCTTCTCAATTTTCCTGGCTTGCAGGCCCAGGCCTCTCTACTGCTTTCCCTCCCTCTGTACCTACCTTTCTTCTTTCCACCACATACAGCTACCCATTAGCTCTCCCCTTAGGGAAGAGGGCTAGGCTATCCTCTCCTGACCTCACTGGAAGCGCATGGGCCCCAATTCATATGGGAAGGGAGCAGCTCCAAAAAATGGGGGAACTAAACCTCCCTCTCCCATTCCCCCTCCCCCCACTAAAATTCCATGATGGAGGCATTTCTCTCTCCCTGCCCCCATGAGTGTGAATTTCAGGATGAAACTAGACTGTACGTAATTAGGACTGAGGTGGAAGAGTGAATTGCACACTGAAAGAACTGGATTGAAAGAAAGACAAACAAGTGGGTCTTACAGCAAATCAAGTCAGACCTTTCCCTAAAAGCAAAATTGACCAAGTTGAAGCTGTCATACTTTGGGCACATCATGAGAAGACAAAGCTCCCTGGAGAAAACAAGCTAGGGAAAGTTGCATGTAGAAGACAAGGAAGGCCAAATATGGGACAGACAGATCCTATAAAGGAAGCCATGGCCTGAAATGAGCAGGGCTGTCATGGATAGGGCCTTCTGGAGAGCTTTCATTCCTCGGGTCACCATAAGTCAGAGAAACTTGATGGCACAGAATAAACTAGTTACCTGCCGTTCCAGGCTGTCAAGA